TGCTGTTGCTGTTGCTTTGCTTTTGCTGTTGCTGCTGCTGCTGCTGTGGTGGGGATGGTGGTGATGGTGGTGGTGGTGGTGGTGGTTCTCGTTTTCTGGTGATGGCTCACCCTCCTTATGGAGTCGAGACGGTGCCATACTTTTTGACATGATATATTCATTTCACGGAGGGCATACTGATAAGTGCCGGCACATCGCAGGCCATGACCCTTGTCATATGGCAGTAATGTGAGAGTCTCTGATTCGTGCCGGCGTCCCTTGCTCAGTATTTTCGTGCCAACTCATCTCGGGAACCGCTGTGGTCTGTGAAGTGGGCTGTCTGCCAAGCACGCTTCCAACCCCTGCTGGATTGCCCCGTTGCTGTTGTTGTGGAAGTGGAGGTGGCTGCGGCGGTGGTTGGGTTTGCGGTCAGGATGTGGTGAGAGTCGTTGCTGTCGTTGTCATCGTCCTCGTCGTGGTGGTCGTTTACGACAGTTCTCGCATCCTTCGTTTCACGCTTGCTTCCTGTGTTGTTTCCCTTCCTTTTATTTCTTTGGATTCGGCAGTTGTCAGCAGCTTGTTATTTCTCTTCCGCATTGTGGTTCTCCACATCTCCGAGCTGGGCTGCGCAACTTCCAGTGCTGCGCAAGAGGAAGGGATTCTAATTCTACTCCATCACCAGGCCGAATTGGCAGCCACGACAACCACGAGCACTACGATGCCTTCGATTGCCGAGAGCGTCCAAAGTACGGTCAGCTACCCTGGCAGCCAAGGGAAGTGCTACAGTGTGTCGAGCTGTTCGAACTCTCTACAGGTCCTGACGCAAGCGGCGGGAAGCGGGCTGATAGCCGATGCGATCAGTCAAGCCGTCAGTCAAACCATGGACAATCCACTGGAGGCTGCAGCGTGGTAGCAACATTGCAAGGACATTTTCGACATGTACTGTGTTGTGGAAAAGAGAACTTTTTGGAAGGGCTACTCAGTTTCTGCGTGTTGAGCAGACGAAGTGCTGTGATTGCTGTGGTGGTAACACGTACAAATACTTGCTACATTGCACACACGGTCACACTGAAAACAACGGTGTTTCGTGCCGACAGTGCGTTTCTTGGCTTCGCACTTCGGCCAGGGGAAATCTTTGTCAAAGTCCGTAAACCCCGGTCCGGTCCGATGCACAGAGCCGGATATTTAGACCTATCTTGTCCCGAGACTTTCGACTGATCGAGCAGGTGCGGCTTCCAGCCGACATGTCGCGAGTCACTAAGAACTGCCACAGTATTGACCCATTCTGCCATCCCTGGGTTTCATAAGAGCGAGCTGACTCCCATGTCCGATGTCAGCAAAGGTTGTCGTACCAAGCTCAAATCCGTCAGCCGGGACGAAACTGGACGTCATCACTGTCCCGTTTCCCCCCCTGCAGCCGGCCTGCAGAGAACAGTTACCTTCGAGAGTCATGATACGCTGCTGTTGTGACCTCACTGAGGGATGGTTCAGAATTTATGATGCTGACCGTGCCCGGTGATGGAGCGATCCCCATTGCCATCCCGACAACGTCGGCCCCTTAGAGCTATTCTGCACATGACTTCAGGGCAGGGCTGTTGTTGGGGAGCGGAAGAAAGACAATAAGAAGGAAGCGAGACTGTTGGCAGGCAGAAACACAGGAAAAGAGAACAGAAGGAACCGGCAGAAAGAATGGAAGTAAGCTTGGCAAGGCAGTAAGGCAGGAAGAAGGGACCAGAAGTTTTGGCGCAGGACAGTGAGAATATTCAAAAGACAGGTGTATAGGTACAGAAGGGCTTTAACAGGGAGAGAGAGAGAGAGAGAGAGAGAGAGAGAGAGAGCGAGCTGCACAGGCTAGGTGTGTGTTTGCAGTCTTTGGGCCCTTAGCTGATAGTCCTTGAACGGGAGCGGGGGCAATAGCAATTTCCATGTGCGCTGCAAGGGGCCGTTTTGTTGTCTGTCTTTCCTATCTAGACAGTTTGCCGTCGTTCTGTTCTTAGAAGGAATGCCCCACAAAGCAACAGCAAAGCAGCGACGAGTGGAGGTTGAGGGATGCGGGTGGGAAGGTATCAGGCAAAGTCGCGCCAGGATTGTGTTCGGTGTCAGGCGGGGAGGCAGGTGAGGTCGGGGTTTGTTTGCAGTCATTTCAACAGCATGGGGGAGTGGAGCTCCCACCAATGCATACGGGGCGATCAACAAACCCTCGGGGGCTCTTTGTAGACTTGTCCTTTACTGTGTTGGAACCGTTGGTGCATACTGATCGCCCTGAACTTTCTAACCGACCGCTGGAGGGCTCACTGACGACCCGGGTACTGCCTACTGGTCCTTGCAGTGGTAATGGTCTTAGGAAGGTGTGTTTTTTGGGGGATTGGGGTTCAAGGCACATCCGGGGCAAGGTGGCCAGTCCTCAACCCCGAAAGGGGCCATTCCGTTACTCAGACGCGCGCCTCAGGGGTTGGCCTCCGGGCCGGGGTTCACCCCAAAATCCAAACCCCAAGCAAGCAAGCACGATGCACAGACGTAGCCATTTTGGCTCGAGCCGTGAGCGGTTCGAGCCCCCCGAGGTCCTCAAGTGAGCCCCTACTCTCTCCCCTCCGAAGTCATCGACCTTGGGAGGGATTAAGCGGGGTGACACACTCATAGCCTCCTTTTTAACGTGCCATTGTCTCGACCAGTGACTCCTTAAGTCCAACTGCAGGTTTGCAGCACAGCACTTACTTGACATCCCGCGGAACGCTCGGGACAGCGAGTACGTCAAGTCCGATCCAGAAGGGAGACCGCTGCTGGGCAGAGGCGTGCGAGGGAGCTTAACTACCTGCAGGGGGTGTGTTGCTCCTGTACCACAACGCCGGCCGGGGGACACCTTCTGGACATATGTGACCTGGGGGATTTTCGTGCGAACCTCGGCGGAACGACAGGCAACAGCCTGGGGAACAGTGGGCCGCAAGATGCCGCAAGCATCTCCGAAGCGTGCCGGTGAACTCAGCAGGGAGAACCCAGCTGATGACCCAGGCGAGCAACCACTGACCCTGGCGCTCTTGCAGCAGGCCTTGCAAGGTAGTCAGCAGCAGATCACGAATAGCATCCGCGAGTCGCTCCGAGGCCTGGGAACCCGTGTGAGTCAAATTGAAGTTAATATTAATGTGGAGGAGCATGTACACCGAACTACGAATTTGGATGCCATGATGGATCACCACTGTCATATATGGAAGGCGCCGTGAAACAGGCGCCCGCAGCAGCCGAGGATGTACGTCGCCGCCTTGAGCTCCTCGAGGATCCTCGAGGACAAGTTCGCCACAGCCCTGGGGGATTGGATGCTGACCATGCAGAGTGTGGAGGAGACGCTGCGACTTGTCAACAGAACATCGCTGACCTGCAAGTTGATCTCGATGTCGAAAATCCGCTACCCACGGATGCTGGCAAATCATCAAGAGACACAGCACCAGCATTGGAAGCAGGCATCGGGGGAGTTTATTTCCCATGACGCCGCGACACTGGCCACTCCGCCACCCTGGAGGACTACGAGGCAGGGGCAATGCTGCTCCAGGAAGGTGACAAGTTGCTGTTTGAGAAAGGAGGAAGGTGATCAGGGTTGAACATCTCCTAGGTAGTATTAAGGAGGCACCTTAAAAGGGACCCGTCGTAACCCCACTCATGGCTCTCTTAAAAGGGACCGTATTGAGAGGGTCTCTATCCCCAAGGGTCCCAGCTCAACACCAGTTGTGGCAGGACAAGTGCTGGCCGTGACGTGGTGGCGCAGAGCGGCGAAGAACAAGGCTCCTCCCCGCCGGCCGAGAGCCGATGGAAACACTCAAAAGCATTCTCTCCGAAGTGGGGGGATGGCCAGTGGGTACACGGATGGATGGATGGATGGAGATGGATGGATGGATGGACGGCATGCAGGGCACGGGCTGCCAAAGGAAACCTTCCCCTCCACCATCTCAGGGAGCCTCCGCAAGCGGCAGCCCGCCGGCAAAGGTTCGAGGTCTACCCCATGCAAGCATCCATGAACTCCCCAGTGCCCGCACAGACGCCGAAGCGCACGGGCCAGACGGCAGTGGGTCCTCGAACTGGACGCGAGCACAGGGGCCAGTAGTGAGTCCACACATCCTCCATTGACACCCTGCGCTCTTCTGGCAAAGGCCAGGAATTCACGGCCAATGCCAAGAGTGAGTGCACCACAACAGTATGGGCTGCGAGGACGAGCCGGCTTGGCAACACTGTGCCAGCAGGCTGTGGGGGCAGCAAGCAGTGAGTACACGTCTTGCAGTCCAGGAACATTCAGAGGGATTGACCCCTGAAGCTGTTTTCGGGTATAGCGCACAAAGCTCTCCAGGGGGACTTATTTTTCATGGTTGGTGCTTAGCTGTTTTTGGATTACAGGTGTAGTGAATGCATCGACAGGGGGACATGTGCGATGTATACCGAGATTCATAGATGTCCCAAAGTTGCATTACAAGAAGTGCCGGCGGGACCCCCCTTAGGTTGGGTAATTGAAGTTATGCTAGGTATGTGGAGTAGTTTTTAGGTACGTGGGGGCACTCGCCGGTACATGTACGTTTCACAGTGCCATCAACAAGCTCCTAAAAATGAGGGGCTCTAGTGGCCAAGGCAGTTTGAGGCGATCCCTCAGCCCTGTGGAAGAAGACGTGCAAGACAGAGCATTACACACACGCAGAGCAATTGCGAGCAATACTAACTTGGTGAAGACAGGAACACATCAAGATGGAAACACACGTACATTCCAATTACACTCTACACTGGCGGTAGCACCATGGCATCGTAAGCATCATCACTGAGTCTTGGTTGTGAAAATCACCACAAGAGTCATAGTCGCCAGATTGAATTGAAGCAACACGAATCGTCATCTCACAGGGCCTAGCGCACGTCAAAGTCGCATGCCTTTAATTTGGCTTCAAGCAATGGCAACCCTGTGAAATTTTATGTCCTGCATGCAAAGCAAAGTTCATCATTTCAGTTGTTTCAAGATGTTCGCCGTAGTCATCGTAGCCAGAGCGACAGCTGGGTTGCATGACGCATACCAGCATACCATCACCTTGATATCCCGAGCAGCAATTCTAACCTTACCCAAGCAGTGATCGAACAAATAAGCGCGCAACGCCGCAGCAGTCACGAGAACCAGAACGGTCACAGCAACCACGCAACACTGTTTTCATAAATGTGACAGTGAGGAATTGCAATCCCGGAATCTAAATAAGTTACAGGCATCATAGCTGCGACAGTCTCATGACTCTAGCAAAACAGCTCCCGATGATTATCGGTTATCGAAAATCCTGTGAGTGGAAACTGTCGTGATCACCCAAAATGGGCATGGTGATCATAACCTTCAAGATCAAAACTCTCACAAACACAGCACCGATCCCAACATTTGCGTTATTCATCATAGCGACCCTCTGGGCATTTGCTTTGATCGTAGGCGTCGTGTTATAACCTCTGTCGCAGGTTGCTGACGATAGTCGCTGTGGTCGTAGAAGTCAGAAGACAAGGCCAATCTACAGAATCGCGCTTGCGACACACCATATATACTTGCTCGCCTTCAAAAGATTGGGAACTCGCGGTCTGAGACATCTGGCCACAAGAGCAGTGACATGTTCTATGATTAAAGAGCTGCCACCAATAAGAGACGAGATTGGATCTATCTAGTCCATACCCATTTGCATAGCTTCTTCAACGCATCAAGTACAGCGTGCCAGTGTCATGCCATGATCTGTGACACGTCAGTCCTCGCACAAACACCGAGCCTGCTTTCTCAGGATGCGGGATTCCATTTCTGTCGGATCCTATCCGGCTGTTCTGGTGGCCTCCTAAGCACTGATGCAATTGCGAGTAACTCATTGATTGACGTGGATTTCAAGTTGTCTTTCAGCTGCCGAGTTGGCATTGCGAGACCTCAGAAATCGACAACAGACCGGGCCGGTGTTCGTGTGTTGTGGGAAATTCACGAGCTCCCGGCTTGAAGAGCTCTTGGCAGTGGTGCTTCGAGGGGAGGTCCGCTCGAAAATCCAGCAATGAAACAGCCCCAATGCTGTTTTGATGTCTGCTAGGTGCTAAGAATTCTTCATTTCACACTCCGCGTCAGCTTTGAGGGTTTGGTCCCTCTTGCTCAGGTCGCCCAAGTCGAACTTGCCGTAGCGAATCTGGAAGCGTTGGGCCTTCCCCCACCCCTGGCAAGCAGGCCGATGCTTGGACTGCACTTTGCATGCGACACTTCGGTGAAGAGAGGACTGGGTGTCCGGATTGGTTCTGTCTGAGTCTCTCTGCCAAGGACTGTGACGACTGCTGAAGGGAAGCAGCTCAAGCTTGGCTACAAGATGGTGGAGGCGTGATGTTTGCGTGCTGCAAGTTGTGTATCTGCTTGCCTGCTTGAGTCGCAGAGGTGAGCTTCCTTGAACTCGACCTGACTGGCAGAGCAGAAGTCCTCGAATCTTGCTCGCACGGCTTGCGCCTGCATCGGAAAGTCCCGAGTCGGTTGACGCTCGCGAGCTGATTCGTGTCGTCACACAATGGAAGCCACCGCCAAACCAGAGCTGACTGGCCTAGGATGTCCCGAGCTCGTCCAGCCCCATCTACATGAGGCAGGGAGGAGCAGTGGATCCCAATAGTGGGTCAGGGGGACCACGGTGCAAGCTCGAGATTGGAGTGGAGAAGAAGCTTGGCAGGCTCTCTGATCAGAACTTCCCCGGTGCTGTGTGCGCCTTTCTCAATGCTGCGAACGAGTGGTCGGAGGTCGCCAGCATGTGATAGCAATGTGCTCGTGCTTCGTACAGCATTCTTTCTGTTTGCGAGCAGCATCGATGTGTGAGGACGGTACCAGCGTTCCGTCCACGGCAGAGATCAGCGAGGCTTTTGGGCCCGACGCCGCTCGGCAGAGCTGCCTCAGCAATTGCACTGCATCGACCCTTCTTGTCTGAGATTGCCGCAGCGGACGGCTTCTGGTGCTCTGCCTACCACCTCTCGCTCTTCGCAATCCTCGAGGCGCTTGCAGGATTATAGTTACAATAGGATAAGACCAATCCTTTGAACACACGCCGAACATGCCGTTTTCTGCGCGAGGCAGTCTCCGCATACTAGACTGTCAGTCATCACGTCTCATGATGTGTGTTGGTATACTTCGAACATCGTGTTGCTACTGTAGCTTCTTTCAGATTTCGAGCAGTTCATAAGCCTGCCGTTCTACTGCATTCGAATAGGCAGCTAGCGAGTAAGTGTTTTAGCAAGCACCAAGTGAAAAGTCTAGCTCCAGAATCGTCTACCCTGCTGGATTAAGAATACTCTCGCAGCCTCAAGGAACGTGGGTGAGGAAGGAGAAATATGCAGGCAGTTGACAACTGTACCCACCGCCATTTAATGAGGGGAAACGTGACCCTCGCACCAAAGGCCCAACGCTTGTGTGGCTGGTGTATTCAATTTGCTCCCCGAGAACAAGAGTCTTCTGTCGTGCAGGCCGCTGGAGACAGCACACATCAAAACAGCACAGCGACAGCGACCAAAGTCCAGAACAAGGCGTGGTGGATGACTGCATCCACATCGCGTTGTCATATGTTTGTGCTGACACATCTGGTTTGCAGCTCTGCCTCTTGACCTGCTCCAACTGGGCATAATTCCGATGGACTGAACAACTGCAGCCGGATCCATCTCACTGCAAATGATCTGCCCTCTTTGTGGATTGGATGGCCCCCGGTTTGCTCTGGAAGTGACCCCTGTGAGGTCTTCGAATGGACCGAGCCTCTGTCGCAGGATGCGGTTCAGATGTCAGGCACATGGGCCACAACCGAGATGCTGTTCAGGGTAGTTCAAGGTTTCATGTTCGTCAGGCAGCGCGCCCTATACCTCTGCAGCTCAGCGGCACCCTTCTTTGCCTGGGTTTGAGATGGAGCTCGGTAGATCGGTGGCTGAGGCGGCAAAGAGCACGGTCGTCTCCCAAAACATCGTGGCGGGTCTCATCACCCTGCCCTTTGCAGATCCGCTGCCCGTCCCACCTTCAGCAACTTGCAAATGTGCTCGGACAAAGATATCTCGAACGGGGGCAAGAGCCAATCCTAAGTAAGCAGGTTGACCGCAGCAGATCGACTTTCCACCTCAGGATAGCAACTTCTGAGTTCCTGCTCCTCGCAGCCATGAGTGACAGCACAGTGGAAGCGGCGATTTTCAGAGAGTCTCCGCCCCGGCTGTGTGGGAACCAGAGCTTCAAATCGCATGAGGGCCTTGCGTGATGACTCGTGGCTTGACCTTCAACCTTCGGAGGTTCCGGTCCCTGCTGCCCGCATCATACCCGGCCTTGGCTGCGGCGGCCTGAGGGACCCTGAGGTACAGCTGTGGACCCTGTTGTTCCGAGTAGGGCGAGGGATCTGCCCTGAACCAACGCGCGCGAGCTGAGATAACGCTGCTGTCCGCACCACAGTACAGATAGTACAGTACCAATGGCATGGAATGCTCAGGTAGCCTCGTTCGCCACCACCCTTGAAGCGCAAGCTCGATTTGGTGTGGAAGGGTTGTCGTTTGGAACGAACCTCGAAGCGTTTTATTATGAGTCGCAGCAAGTGCTGGGGCAGGGACGGAATGATTCGGTTTGAAGCCCTACTTGTCGAAACGCCCAGGATCGTCGAAACGGCCCAGGGGCACTTCAAGATCGGCCCAAGGGCTCTCCAGGCAGAAGACAAGCTTCGGTTCTGGTTTCGGAGTATGCAAAGTGAGCCTTGACTCAGGTGAGCCTTGTGGACATGGCCCTGGGGACCACAATCACGGCCGTTGACACGTGGTCGACTGCGGAGCCCTTGTACTTCAGGCTGGATCAGAGTCTCCGTGTTGCGGAAGCAAGATTCGGGCAGCCTGCCTTGCAGGCTCTCAGACGATGTATTCTCCGACACCGCGGTCTGTGCTTGGCTCAATCACCTGAACGAGTGGGTTCAGGAGAGTTTGAGATCCCCGCGTGATCATTACTCGCCCCGCAGAGCAGAGAGGACGACACCTACAGGCCGAGCGAGGACGAGCTCCGAGCCGCTCTCGGCACAGTGGCACGGCCGCCGTGGCCGTCACGGAAGCAGTTATGTGAGAAAGCAGAAAGGTTGGACATGGTGCTGGTATGTGCTGGTCTGCAAACGGGGCCATGGCAGCGGTCGATGGCCGTTGCAAGAAACAAGCTGTCGCACCTTAGGCATGGAGCCCTGGCTTCTGGTGTGCCACGCTTCACTTTGGGCTCTTCACGATTCTTGAGGCACCCGTAATCCACCTCTGGCGGAGAGTCGAAGCTCAGAAGACTTTTCTCCTGTTGAGGTCCCGGTAGAACCTGGCGATGTTGCCGGCGCGATGCAGAACTTGGCCGGGCACTCAGAGCCTCAGGGCCTCTGCTCGATGCAGCCACAGTATGCTTGAAGGCTCTTGAAGGCTAACCTCAGCTGGGCAGGCGTGTGGCAGACAAACCATGGCAGAAAGCATCGAGTGCAGGAACCAAGCAGGCATTCGACCTGCGACTGACCAGAGATGGACGCCAGAACGGACAGAGTTCTTTGCAAGTTGTTGGGTTGTTTTTTCTGGGTTGGGATGCGGAGCTGGCGTGACCAGAGCTCCTGGTGCATCACTTGGACAGACCGACCTCGTATTCCACGGCTGGCTTTCGCAGCCATCGGGTGCCATTCATCTGGATCCTGAAGATTCCCGATGTATCACTCGTGCACTGGCACCCGGCAACTAGAGGCTTTAAAGGTATCACTCGTCACGCGGCTGAAGCTTCAGAAAGTCCAATTGCAGTGTTTGCTGTTGGGCTGCAATTGGGCCCACCGAGGTGTTGACCTCTGCTGCACAGGCGTTCTCCGAAGCATTCATTGCTGCGTCCACACAGCCGCAGCAATCTGCGACTTACCAGCACTCGTGTTTGTTGTTTGCAGACCACGGACCCACAGCCGTAATTAGGCCCCGACATTGCTGCATCGCTGAGGGTGCTTTCGGGTGGAGTGCTGGGCCTGGGCTGGCTGGAGCCCTCGTCACTATACCGGAGCTGCCTGCGCGACTCACCAGCAGCTTTCGAACCGGCAAGATGGAAGCTGTTAATGCCAGTCACATCCTCAAGGCGTCTCATCCTTTCGAGTCTGAGGTCATCAGACGACAGATTCGTAAACGTCGTGGCTGACATCTACGAGGAGATCTTCATTGCCCTGCCAGCATGGTCGGGGTCCTGCTTGTAGCCCAGCTAAAGCGCAAGGCCGCCCCAATTCCGAGGCTTTCCGAATCCGTCGGTGGCTACGATGTTCTGTCTGTCAGAAGCCGAGAGAGGCAAATTTACAGCTTGTGTATGTATTTTGCATGCCACATGAAGGCAAAGCTGGGGAGCAAGTCTTTTGTGCGCATTCTTCACATCATCGAGGTTGCTGAGATCCAGTATGACAACATGAACGCCACAAGTCGGAACTCTTTGCCATCGGGGCCCCTAGCTGCAAAGACGTGGCTCGGATGCATTTGCTCGCGGAAGAGCCGGCCGGTCGCAAGGTGGAACGACCTTGCAGCTTGTTCTGTCGCTTTTCTGACAAAATATACAAGCAGGACGCTGGTACTCGTCGTACATGACAGACATCGTTCTAGTGAGCACGAGACTGCATCAACTGCTTCCATGCCTCGCTCTAAGCCGCTGAATTAAGCCCTCCTTAAATGCACCCCCCCTCTCAAAATTCAAGGTCGACATCGGCCGAACCACAGTACATTAGGGTCATTAGGGCCTGTGGCGTCTTGCAATCCGCAGAGCCTACAGTCCTTTGCCGTCCCGAGCTTGGGAACGGTAGTGACTGGGGAGTGCAGCTTAGCTCACGCTTTCTAGATTATGCTCGAGGCTCTTCTCCCTCAACCCGTGAAGCAAACGCCCCGTGATTGGTCGGAATTGACCTTTGTTTGGGTCTACTTCTCAAAGTATTGTTGGGGTGATACTGAACTTAATGGCCTCGATGCTTAACAGTGGGGGCTCCGTTCAAGATCGAGAGAAGCGATTACACGAGGAGCATTACGATGGCAAATGGCCAGTCGGCCTACCTGGCGCCAGTACTGGTGGAGGCACGCCAAGATGGCAGTGGATTTTCGACACCAAGCTTGGTGTTCGATTTGCCGGTGCTGGCGATGATCAGTCCAGTGAATTTTGCTGCCCTTAGCCAAGCTGTCGAAGTGGGCAGGTGACGGTGCTGAGTAACGAGCCGGCCAATCCGCGAGCCATCGTACTCTGACATGTTTGAGAAAGTAATACTTGAAGTGCTCGTTGCCAGTTAGTCGGATGTTGCAGTTTTACAACCTGGACGGTCACAGCCGTTTCTATGGTCTAAATTTGCTGCACTTCCCGTCAAGGCTCTCTCGAATCTTACCACGCCCATCTACATCAGGTGCGACACGCGTAGCAGTGTGCCTCCCTGCTGTTGATATTCGTCAGGCTGTCGCCGCAGGAGTTCCCAGGAGCGGCTTGTGCCTTCCTGAGCTCCGGCAGCTGGTCACAGGACGACCTCATCCTACCTTGCAACACATCCGAAGGTCTGTCTTTCTAAACTTTAGACAGTTCAAGTTTAATGGGCGGGCAAGTGGCCACGGCGCAGGACGGCATGTATCGACCAGATGCAGCTGAAGTCGCTGCGGCCTTTGCCGGATTTGGTCAATCTGGCTTGGAGGCCACAGCAGACTCCGAGACGCAGTGCAAAGACAAGCTTCACCATAATGGGTACATCGTCTACGGTTAAAATCACAATCAGCATTGCAGAGGCAGAGAAGTCCAGCTTCTGTGCAAACCGCCGCATGCATGATCCGTGAGGTGTCGACGGGATTGTGGTGTGCCACAAATCACCTCTCCCTTTTCGGCATCCTGGAGCCAATTGAGGCGCTTAGAAGCTGGTAGCTTGCACAGTGCTGCGCTGCGAACAGGTTCCTGACAAACACACTTGAGGCTAAGTGTCTTTCTGTCACTTAGACAATTCGATTCCTGCGCTGCGAACAGGAAGCTCCTTGTGATGGAATCCTGCTTGGAAGCGAGTGCGTTGCTATTGGAATCTTGTTGGCAGCAGTGGGGCCGCTCGGACCGAATCTGGCGCTGGACATGCGAGCACATTAGCAGCGTTTGCCTGACCTGACTTTTCGTGGCCGAGGGGACCGCTGGGGTGCTGCTCCATCTGCTGCATTGTTTACTGCCGCTTCGGCAGCCAGGAACTTGCGTTTGCTGCATCCGCAGACGACAGTCACTTGAAGGGCTTGCAGTACGGTGTGTTCCCGTGCTGATGCTGCTCTCACGAATCATGAATGGTGAGTGAGATACATAAGCGTGCGTCGTGCCAGTGCCGCTCAAGGCTGCATCAAATGTCGGCGCCCAACAGCGGGCAAGGTGAAGCTGACGGATCATAGAGGATCTTCCCATGCGCCTGGTCTGCTTGTCGTTCTGTGCATTTCGATGACGTGGTCGACGCAGCCGTAATGACAGAGCCGCCGTTGCGCTCAGGAGTTCGGATTTCAGGTGGTGAAGGAGTCTGCCCTGTCGCGAGTTGTGCGAACTCCCACCACGAAGTCTGGAAAATCTGGAAGATCCGGCTGCGAACTCAGCTTCTCAAAGCACCGCATTAGCTGCACATAGCGAATTGGTCTGACAGCGAGTGAAGCCGCTAGGGCAGCAGAGAGTCGTATCGTGGCAACAGTATCCTTTTTTGTTGGGACTTCGCGGAACCAAGGCCAGGAGCACGCCGAGCCGGAGGAGGTGGAAGCAGCCGCTTGGCCTCGAAAGTCCGAGTCGCTTCGTTTCCAGGCATTCCACTCCGTAAAGACGACATGTGCTGAGGTCAAGATCCATGTGAGGTGGGATGTGGATGTCGCACAGTGGCTGATATGGAATGCTGTGCGTCTGTCCAACGTATTGGAGCAGTCCTCACATGTCTTGCCGTGTTCCGCATGATCGGAAGCTGCGAAGCGGCCACAGAACTCAGGACAAAGCGCAGGAAGCAAACTTCGACTTCAGCGTTGCTCCGGACGGCGCCCTGTCAATTTGCACAGACGATCACTGCTTCGAACCGGAAAAGATCCCAGACGACGTCAGGTGAAAAGAAGCAAGATCGCTTCCTCGCTGTCACAGACACGGGGGTCTTGCTCGCGGAATCTCCAAAAATGAGATCGGCAGTGTCGGAAAAGTCGAACGATGCACAGCAGCTTGCCTGAAAGAAGCAAAAATTTCACAGCAAATTCTCTCAGCGCAGAGCTCGCGGAACTTCGAGCCTCCCAGGAGCGAGTCTCCTCGCAGCTCGAGGCATCGGAAGCTCTCCGAGGCCTGGTCCTGCGAGCCTCCGTGAGTCTCTCGAAAAGGGCCCTGGGTGGGGGGTTTCTGAAAGGCAGAAGAAAGAGTGCTGGCAGACATGGAAGACAACGAGCCAGAGGAGTCAAGCCCTTCGCCGCAGGCCCGCAGCGGCTTTTGGGAGCTCAGACATGTTCAAGGTAGGCTTGCTTGGCATGTGCAGGAGCCTATAGAGAAGGAGGAGGATCCTGACGACATCCTCATCATCGCAAATCCAGATGATGGCCAAGATTCACCCAAGCGTATCAAATCTGTATCGGGAAACTGGGAGATGTTCGAGGACGGGGCGCATGTCGAATATTGGTCCGCAACACATGCGCAGTGGCAGCTCGTCCGCCAATCTGACAGCTTTCCCAATTTTTTCGTGTAGTTATCAACGCAGTCAACATGGAGTTTCGAAAGATCAATAGTCTCGGAGGGAGAAGCTCCATCAGCCATTCCTAGCCTCTCCTCGAAAGCGTGAAGGCTGCAGGGCTCCATCGACGGCCCGGGCGTCGTCACACCAGCCGATCCAAACTTCCCGACTTACAACTTGATTCTGAAAGCGAAGAGGTCCTCAAAGCAAAGACGAGAATTCGTGATTTGGCGACAACAGGCGTTCTTTTCCGATGTGCCAGGTCCCAGTATTCTCAGTTGTTTTTGTATATGAAACACACACAGCTTTATTTATGTAGGTGTCCAATATCAGTAAATCAGCGTAGGTATAGTTAATTATAGTTATATGAATGTACAGGTTCTGTACATGTAATAATAAGTATTTGTAAACATATCTGCATGCGTGACTATCTGTGTGAATGTATGCATGCATGCATGTCTGTATGAATGAATGAATGAATGAATGAATGAATGTCGAAATGCATGCACATGCATGGATAGATGCATGCATGGACGGACGGATGGTTGGATGCATGGATGGATGGATGTACGTATGTATATGTCTATATGTATAATATGTGTCTCTCTATAGTCTCTCTATATGTGTGTGTATGCATATGTACAAATATCAGAGATAGATAGATAGATAGGTAGCCAGCTGGATAGATCATCGATCGATACACGGACAGATAGAGACAGGGTTGAGTCTGCACAGCCTGGCAAAGAGCTGTGCTAACCTCTGCACGACTAGGGACCACCATTCTGGTAAGTTTTCACTATTTTTGATGCTCGCATGACGTGCTCGGAAGGATGGGTGTGCAGATGAGGTCGAGCTTTCCGCCTTGAGGAAGCCGCTCAGAGAAGGCCACGCTGTCAGTGTCAAATTGGACGGCGAGGACTGTCCTGGGCCATCACTGCATCTGTACTCTGAGGAGACGGAAAAAGGTTGCTCCCAGATCCAATTTTTGCGGCACGGGCAGGGCTCCAGGAGCAGACCTTGGCGCTAGCAGAGTGCAGAGTGCGAAGTGCCAAATGAAAAGTTGCTTACCAACTCTTTTCCTATGTCCGTGAGGCTTCCAACATTTCCCAACAAGCGATTGCTTCCGCTGCAGTTCGTCTACTGCTTTACAGATGATAGTTTCGCGAACTGTCCGGTACTCCGAATCCGCACTTCGCCGAAAGGACAGGTGGCTTCCTGCTATCGTCATCGCGCGACAGAGCATTCCGCTAGGCTCATTCCCGGTTGCAATGGTGCGGGCAGACATTCCCTAATCCGCGAAACCTGAACCCTGGGTCCGCTCAAGCACTCAAGCCGTTGGTCCTGCAGCCCTCAAACCATGCCAAGATTCCACAGTCGCTCTTGGGCAACCCATTAGCTTTGCGTTGTCCAAGAGGTCTTCTCGTGTCCACCCGTTACGGCGCCTTTGAAACCCAAGAAGCAAAGGATGTTGGAGTCATCGGCAAGGGCCGTTGGGAAGTTTCGATTTGGGGCCTGGTTGTTTACATTGATGTAAAATGCAAATTCCCTAGCCCCTTAGTCACTTGTGCTATGGCCATGCTGAGACCCGGCTGGCCTACAGGGAGAAGGGTTGTGTTCTACGGTTTGAAAGGTGTGCTTTTGGCATCCTTCGTGCCAGGCTACCGGGTGCTTCTGGTTGATGGACCTCACGACGGCGAGAGCGTGACGGTCTTGGCAGAGCCTTGTCTTCAAAGAGATCACCGGCATCAGGTGTCTTCATCCATGATGGAACCTCCCGTGCGGTTTTCTCAGGACAGAGTTCGCAATCGGTTTCCAGCCGGGCAGCGCGTGGCCTTTTGCCCCCATTACGAGCATGGGCCAAGCTTTCACAGGAAGGGGTTTTGGTTGGACACGCTTCCGAAGCAGCCTTGCCCCACTCAGGCTGTGTATAGAGGCCTCCACGAAGGCTGGCATGACGGAGTGGCCAACTCAGCACAGGCTCTTTCCAGCTTGCACAAGAAAGGAGGATCAGGGACCGACCGTAGAAGTTCTGTTCCACCTAGAGGCATGCACGCCAGCCGCTAAAGAAGTCGAATTCGGGCTTCGTTGGTGCCTTCAGCGCTGAGGTAGTTCGTGGCGACACGGCTCATGAAGTTCCCAGTGTATCTGTGGAGCTTCTTGTTGGCATAAAAGAGGATAAAAGAGGACAAGACCGGATGAATCAACATTGGCGGTGCTGAATGTTGAAAATACTCTTGCTGGGTGCGACGCCCCGTCTGCCCGGTTATGTCCAGGTGTAGTGACGCAGGGTCTTATGACACTTAGCTTGCTGAGATCTTCCAGGCATTTCAGTTAAGGCTCTCCGCCACATGCGCCAGGCCACGTGTAAACCCAAGCAACAGCCAGCGGTACATATCCTGAAGTCCGATGTGGACATGGGGCTGTGTTGCGGCCCTGAGGGCCGATCCCGATCGAACCTAAGTTAGGCCGTGTCGCAGCCTAGACACAGAGCCGAGGCTTTTCGGAAGCATGTAGAGGGAGCAAGAGCACACGCTACGACTTTACGGAGTTTCCTTACAAGCTTCCTTTCCGAAGGGGATTGGTGAAGATGATAGGCTGGCAACCGGGCCTTGGTTTGAGGTCACATCTCATGGCTTCTGTGGAACAGGGTCAACGACAGCAGACGCGAACAGCATTGGCTGAGGCTTGATTCGAAGATGGAGATCGAGGGGGAGGTTGTGGAAAGCTTGCAGCATCTTGCTCTTTGGCTTTAAATGTCGTGTGGCGACTGGACCAGCTTGCGGAAGAGACTCGCAGCCAAGTAGCTCTCAGCCGCCCTGTGTGGCGAGACGCCCCTACATAAGCACCAATGTGCTGAGGTCCTGCCGGTGGACCGAACAGTCTCCGGAGCGCTCCGGCAATCTGCATCCTCCAACAGGGTTTCCATGTAGTGCTACACGTTGTTGAACTGGTGAAGATGTGCAGAGTCATGAGTGCTCGCTTTTGCACGTATCAGTATCGTATCACGGGATCACGAAAGCGATTCGTGTTTCGACAGAAGGCCCGGTGCCGCACGTTTCGCTCATCTGCACTCGCACAAGCCGGTGTGACCCAAGCAGATCGCTGCGTATTTTGCATTTGCTGGGAAGCAGCGTGGGTGTAGAGAGTTCTTGATGCGAAGCACGGGCCGACGAAGTCTAGAAGTTCACCAACCCCAGTATTACTCGAACGGCTGAACCTTCGCTCGAGATTTGTGAATATGACCACATCGTATATATGGCATGATCCTGCGCTAGAAGTACAAGCGTTGACGCTAGCCTCCAAGTTTTAAAGATGAGGGCAGAACTCTGCCCGACCTCGTCGTTTAGTATCACGGTTTGATGCCAAGGGCATTCGTGCCAAGCGTCGACGCGTAGCCAGCGAAGCTGCTCCGTGTCGTCTGGCCTAACAGCGCCCCATAGCTAAAGGCAGTCGCGGCTCAAACAGATTCGATTCGCTGCGGTCGGAGCAGGGATGGAACCGTGATGTCACGTGGGTGGAACAGACTTAGCTGCAGAGACCTGCTTTGCTTTGTCCGCAATCGCCGGAATGGGTTCAGTGCTTCCCTGAGGTTCGGGCAGGACGCACGGACTTCAAGGAAAAGATCGTGGAGAGGGCGAAGAATCGCAAGGGCTTTGTGCCCAGATTCTCCAAGTCAACTCGACGTGCTATGGCGTGCTGATATTCAATTGCTATACATGATCATTGTCACAGCGCGCCGGCCAAGGCGGCCGGACGAACAAAGAGAACGCTCGAAACAAGCCTCTACTCATGACGTTGCAGAGCCGGACGCTTAGAATTCTCCGAGCTTGCCTAATTCATCAGGATCCACACGGAATCCTTGCTCTCATGCTCATGGCTATACAGCGTTAATAGCCTGGCTTACATGAGTGGACAGTTTGGCCCAATCGTTCAGAGCTGAGCTGGCTGCCAGCTCATGAAGCCCCTCTGCCACCAGTTTTCGTGACGACGTGTGGCTCAGTGATGTAAAATTCCAGGCTTTTCCTTCTCAAGCCAGGCAGAGCAGTCAAGGAGAAGAGAGCCCGCACGGCAAAGCAGAAGCTGGCGACACTGCGAGGGCACATCAAAACCTTGAGGCTGGGCCCAGGGCAGCTTGCAGCCGTAGATACAAATTTTGGGTGTTTTAATCAGGAAGAACGCTGCTCATCCAAAGCGCCGACGGTGAGAAGTCTGGACGGTGGTTTCACTCAAAGAGTTCAAAACGTTCAAAACCATCAAAATGTTGTGCGTCACGTGATATTCAACTGCGCCGTGCATGCAACTTGAATGCCAGTGAGTTCCGGATGCTGGCTGGTGCTACTCTGAGCAGTGAACGGCTGTGGGCTGTGGTATTGCAATCCCTGTGACGGATGGAAGCTGGCTTGTCGAATGGCTCTAGCTTTTGCACGGTTGTTGGCATAACATAGCTCGATGTTGCGAGAGCTGCCTTCGAATCCGCTGAATTGTCAGAGGGACAGCAGGAAGAAGCGCTTCTGCTATATTTCGCTGTAAAATACCGGTTGCACACACATACGCATACCACTACCAACAATAAGACTCAGCACAGCTTCTTGGACACCTGTAGGCACACGACTTGTTGACTGCTCATGTTATCAACATATCCAAGCAATTAGGCTGTGGGGCCCAGCACATGCGAAGCAGTTCTGTCTGCATCAGTTTGACAACATGCATGTGCCTTTGCAATGGCCTTTCCTCCCCGTTCCTACAGGCGCCTGACAAGCATATTTTTCTTCACAATCAGACTACCGAGATGGCACAATGCGGCATTTTGCAGGCATGAGAGGAGTCCTCTGCAAGCCAGTCTTCTGCAGGTCCTTTGCAGCAGCTCTGCGTCAGGAGGAGGCGCAGGGGATCGCATGGAATCGCCCGGCTTAGCTTTCAGCGCCTGCGCCAGCGGCCAGTGGCCAGGCCCTGGAGCTGCGACTGAGGGCCGAGACCCGGCAAGCGTCCCCTGGCGGAAGCATGCGTGGGTGCTGCATGCGGTATGAAGCGACCTGACATCGTTTAGAGTCTTACAGGGCCCTGGGAATCTCAGCACGTGGAACTGCCTGGGACCTTGGACTCCTTGGACTACAGTCTCAGATGCAGGCAGGTGGAGTCTGCAGCACTCCGGGACTCCATCTACTTGGAGACCTCGCCTGAGATGGGAGTTGTTTGTTTCGCTGAGAGCGACGGTGCGTGGGAGCGGTCTTTCTCGTCTGACACTGGGCTCTTGACCAGGTCCCAATATCTACCATCACAAGTGTCAACGCTGTTTCACTACTACAAGATTTCAGGCACTCGCTGTAGCTCTTATAATGTGGTTAATGCTACCTTCACCCGCCCGTGTTTGCCCGCAGCTTTTTCGTGTTGCAAGCGCCCCCAAATGAAGACGTCGCAAAAACCACACGGACAACTTCGAAGCGGGTTTTGTCAACATACAGAGATGTCGGCACCCAGAACAATGTCCGCCTCGACCGCATCCACAACAAGAATCTCGTCCTCCTCGACCACATCCACAACCACCAAGACACGTGTTTGTGCGGGCGAATAGTGGGGGTTGACGCGTTGTTAACGGTTGTCACGGTCAGGGACACCCCATATTGCTACAAAATGTAGTCTTGCTTGCCGCACGAACGACTACCACTCCTCACCAAGCTCCCGCAGTGTGTGCAAGCTGCCTTGCAAGGGCACTGCAGCAGCGCGCTGTAGAGGAGAGCGCCGGTGCCCCGGAGGGTCCGTGTGACATATCTTCAGTCCTACTACGGCTTTATGTGCGAAGAGAGCGGAACGCTGTCCCTGATTCCCGTTCCAAAAGCGGACAAGATGATGCACCGGAAATGTGAACCTAGGCTGCAGCTTTGGCCCTCGAGCTTCATGGGGCCAAGACCCAGGACGGCTGCGTGAACATCGATGCCAGTTCAAGTGCAGCAAGTGAGATTCCAATCTTTCAGGACTGGGCATTAGCAGAAATAGGAAGCTTGTCCGAATGCAGGCTGCTGAAGTTTGGCAAGAGTACGAAGCGCCCAAGCCTCACTGCAGATCCAATGAAGTCACTTTAGCTTCAACACCGCACTTCAAGAAGCTAGCAACGCTCATGATGGAGGCCCCTTGCGGGGGAAGCTGCTGCGATGGCAACCCTGCGGATGCAAACGCAGGCAAAGGTCTTTTTGAACGACCGTGAAGTCTGTGAATGGACTCGGGGGGAGTATATATGATGCAGGGCTGCC